GGCACTGACCTCAGCCCCCCACCCCCCAACTCCCCACCCCGCCTGGCTCCTCACCCTAACCTCGCCCCCTCTCCCCTGCAGCAGGCGGGCTCTGGAGAGTTCCGGACGCTGCGGAAAGGCTTCTCCCCGTACCACTCGGAGTCCCAGCTCGCCAGCCTGCCCCCCTCCTACCAGGACGCCCTGCAGAACGTAAGTGCCCCTCCCCCAAGAGCCCCCCTGTCCCCTTGTGGACCTGGCACCTCTGGAACCCTTGGTCCACATGCCAGGGGAGAGGTGAGGCTCGGACCGGCTAGTGACTTGCCGGGGCCGCGGGCAGTGGCCAAGCTGGGTCAGGGGAGAGCAGCGGGTCAGGCTTGGCCTTCCTCACTCCCCCGCCTTCTTTCTCGCAAGGGGCCTGGGCTCCGGGACCCTCCGGGCTCTGTAAGGGCCCAGTGTGGTGGTTGGAGGTGGAGTCCCAACTCATGGTGATGTTGTGGCAGCACCGGGCAGTGTCCAGAGGCCACGAGAGTGGCTGCCCAGGCCTAGCCATCGTCCCACCGTGCAACTCGGTGGCCTGTGTCACCCCTGGGACACACAGCAGCGAGAGGATGCGGCTGGCCCTCGGGGTGGGCTGGGTGTATATATGTCGGGTCACTGCCCTGGCTCTGTAACAGGGTGGGTGTGTGGAATATGGACCTCATTTATCCTCCGGGCCTCCAAGGTTCTCCTGGGCTCTGACCAGCCCCGAAGGGAAGGGAGGGGTGGGGGGGGGTGCAGCTCTCTGGGACATGGATGGCTGTCCTGGGGTAGATGTGTCTGTCAGACTGTGTGACAGCCTGTGACCACAGACACAGACCTCCAGGGGCAGAGAGCCCATGAGCGATGGCCAGGAACTGGGAGGAGGGGAAGTGGGGGGCTAGGGGTGTGCGGCTTCTCTCTGGGTGATGGGAGTTTCCGCTTGTGGGGACTGCACACATCTGTGGATGTGCTAAACACCAAGAGGCACTCACCCTCCCGAGCTCCGAAGATGATCGTAACAAGAGCGACCAGCGTTTACCGAGTGTCTGCTGCATGCAGTGGGCTCACCACGCACTCCAGCCACAGCAAGGCAGGGAGGGCAGGTGGGCCTGGACTCCGGCCCCGGGTCCTGGCCCTGCCTCTCCCCCCACCCACCCTGCCAGCAGGGACGCTCAGGGCGCCTCTGCAGAGCTGCCCTGGCCTTGCAGTAGGCAGAGGTGCAGCTGCTGCCGGGCGTCTGGTCTCTCCTGAGGCCCCCGCACCTGGCCCAGGAATGTAGCTGCTGACGCTGTGCAGAGAGCAAGGCCCGCCGGCAGCAGATGCTCCAGATGTTTATCCAGGAGCCTGTGGCTGAACCAGGGTCTAATCCTTCATGAGTAAGGGCCCCGAAAAGCCAGTGACACCCACCGGGTGGCCCCTCCACTCCTTCATCCCCCCACCCAGCTCTGTCCATTCTGACGGTGCACAGTGATGGAATGCTGTGTCCCCAAGCCTCTCAGGGGCCTGCAAACTGTAAAGTGCTGTGCGCCTGGCTGGCTGCTGGGATGTGCCGCAGGATGTGAGCAGAGGGAGCTGGGGTGGGTGGCCAAGGTTGCGTGGCTAGTGGGACTTCCATTCCTACTCCCTCCCCCTCCCCTGCCCCTATAGGTTTGCCTAGTCTGCACACTTCCTATTAGTGGAGACATATAAACTACTGTGGACCCCTGTGACTTAGTGCCATGTTTCTGAGGTCCACCCGCGCTGCAGGGCGTATCAGTTCTTTGGTCCTTTTCGTTGTTGAGTGATAGTCCATTGTGTGGGTGTACATTTTTTTATTCATTTACCAATGGCTACATATTTGGGTTGTTTCCATTTTCTGCCTATTGTGAATGGTGTTGCTGTGAGCATTTCTGGGCAGGATGTGGGCACGTAGGTTTCCAGTTCTCTCAGGTAGACACTAGTCTCCGGTCTTTTGGCCCCAGCTCTGGAGTCCCACAGACCCGGGTTCGAGGCCCAGCCCCCTTGTTTGCTAGCTGCTTGGCCTTGGCAAGTCATTCAGCCTCACTCTCCTCATCTGTGCAATGGGCATGTAAAAAGCTAGTGTCTGCCCAGAGGGCTGTAGTAAGAACCCAGAGGGCCGAGGGAGCGCGTGTCCTGAGCTCTCCCGTCTGTGGTCCTCCCCTTCCGGGGCTGCTGTGCTTGGGGAATGCCCCAGAGGTAACGGCCCTGATGGCATATTATTTGTACACATTATGTGTCCAGTGGTGGCTTCATTTACAGGGTTCCCGTGGCCGTACTCTGGCAGCCTGGTATGCCGGCCAGGAGAGGGCTGCATGGCACAGCCTTCCCCGGCCACTCCTGGCTTCCCTCCTGCCTCTGCTCGGGGAATCAGCCTCCTTACCGAGCAGGTAGTTCAGGGAGTCCCAGGTACAGACAGGACTTGAGGCCACAGGTGCCAAAGGCCAGGTGCCTGGCTGTACCCCTCCTGTCTCAGTTCGGGGAATCAGCCTCCTTACCGAGCAAGTAGTTCAGGTACAGACAGGACTTAAGGCCACAGGTGCCAAAGGCCAGGTGCCTGGCTGTACAGTAAGTGTGTGGCTGTCGCCCCCTCCTGGCCGGTGCGGGCAGTGCAGCCTTCTGCCTCAGGTCGCTCACCTGTGTGGCCTGCCTTCCACCTGCCCCCAACCCCCCACCCCAGAGCTTCCAGATCTTTTTGGCTCCCTCATATGACAGACCTGGCCTGGGCAGCAGAGTCCAGGCAGCCTGGACTGCCGTTAGGGGAACAGCTGCATCCCAGGGCGCTACACGCACCCTGGTACACAAGCACCCTTTACGTTGTCCAGCTGAGGCACAGAGTGAGTCGGGCCCTGCCTCAAGTCACAGGCAGCAGAGCCTCCCCCAGGCCCAGCCTTCCCAGACCCCAAGGCCGTGGTTCCCTGCCTCCCTGGAGCCAGCAGTAGTGGGGAGAGTGCAGGGGAATTGGCTGCCTAGGCCCTGAGGGTGTCTGCACGGCATGGCCTCAGTGGGCAGAATCCCAGGGCAGGGCCCTCAGCCAACCTCCCCTAGTCTTCCCTGCTCACGTGCTCCCGTGCAGGCTGGGCAGTCTCGGTGCTCTCTGTTCCCTCTCAGGCCCACTCTCAGCGCTTTCTGATCACCTGGCTCCTATGGGCCCTGGGGACCCCATCCTTGAGGCCTCCTTGTCTGTGAGCTTCTTGCAGCCTGAGGCAGAAGCCCTGCCCCCTGCCCCCCGGCCACCTGGGCCAGTGACCCTTGTGGGGGGAAGCTGGGGAGGCCATGGGCAGACACTGGCTCTGCCACAGATGGGCAGGGCGCTGGGGGATGGACCCCCTCCTCGGCTCATCCCCTGCCGCTCCCCCAGGCTGATATGGGAGTTGGGTGCCTAATTGCCAGAGTGTTTGCTGAATCCGGTGGCCAGACGGCCTGGAGGCAGGGCTCAGGGCTGGAAGACTTGTAACCCCGGGTCTGGGGGGTGGAGTTAAGATGAGTCACCCACTGGCAGTAGGGGGAGCAGGAGGGGGCTTTGGGATCAGGACACCTGGGGTTGGCGAGGTGACCTTGGTGAGTCTCTGCCCTCTCTGAGGGAGTCCCAGGTACAGACAGGACATGAGGCTTTCTTTGCACAACGGATAATAGGCCTCCAGGTGTGCTGCATGGGGAGCCTGTGGGGCGTGGTGGGTGCTGCTCCTCGGCCCTGGCCTGGCCCTCACCCTGCCGCCTCTCCCATCACCTACCCCCATTTCCTCCTGCCTAGCCCCTGGCCCCACAGCATCAGGGACCTCACTCAGAGCTGGTCGCACCTGCGGCCGCCACCTGGGTCTGTCTATTCAGGGTGAGCTAAGCCTCATGATTCCCTCCCACAGGGCCCAGCCTGCCCGGTACCCGAGCTGTCCTCACCCCCCTCCGCCGGCTACAGCCCCGCAGGACAGAAGCCCGAGGCTGTCGTGCATGCAATGAAGGTGAGGGCCAGGCCCTGCCCACCCTCACCCAGGTCCCACTCCCTCAGGAGCCCGATCCCTGGTGTGATGTGGGATGGGGACCTCTTTGGGGGCACCTGAGCAGCAGGGTGGGACCTGTGTGGGGACTGGGTGGCTGTGACTGCCTGGAACACTGTGGGGGAGGGACTCAAAGATGCCGGGTGCCGATAGCAAGTGTGTCACCTGTCTGCCATCCCTGCAACTGGGGAAACTGAGGCCTGAGGGTGGGCACTCCTCAAGGTTGGAGTCATGGCAGGACGGGCCAGGTAGGAGCAAAGCCCAGGCCTCCCAGGCCCAGCCGCTGCTCAGGTGCAGGGCCTTCCTGCTCAGGGCCGCCAGCTGCAGGTCCTGAAGACGCGCTCCTGCCTCCAGGGAGCACATCTCCCGCTCCTGTGCCCCTCATCTCCTCCCCATTCCCCCCTCCCCCGGTGCATGCGCCACAGTTGCCATGTGCACACATGTGTGCACACCCCATGTGCATGAGTGGGGGTGTCCTCGGTCCTCCTGCTCATTAATCACAAGCTGGGCCCTGGTCAGAGCGAGTCCACCTGTCCGAGGGCGGCCCTGCCCCCAGGTGACCGACCCCTCCTCAGCTCGGCCCCCAGTGAAAGGGGTGCGGCTTCCCTTGTGTGATGGGTGCAGTGTCACTGGGTGAGGGGAGAGGACACAGTGAGGAGGGACGGCCTGCCCCTCAGGTCTCCACACCCCTGACCCGGGCCCTGTTCCCTGCAGGTCCTGGAGGTGCACGAGAACCTGGACCGGCAGCTCCAGGACAGCTGCGAGGAGGACCTGAGTGAGAAGGAGAAGGCCATTGTCCGCGAGATGTGCAACGTGAGGCGCTTCCCGGGCCAGGGTCGGGGGGCGTCCTGGCCGGACACTGGGAGTTGCAACCTTCCCCGGGGGAAAGGATGGTGACCTGGAGGGCTGGCTGGAGGCACTGGAGCCTGGGAGCGCTGGCCTGGCCTCATCCCCACCCCCACCCCGAGAATGAATGGGGTCCCTGATCTCAGGGTCTGTCCATCTCTGGAATGTGCCTCTGGCCCCCAGGACTGGTCTTGTTTACCCCTCATGTCCTGCCCCTCAGCCCCGGTCCCAGGTGTCTGGCTCCTGGCCTCCTAGCTGGGTGGTGGCCCTGGTGACTGCTGGTGCTTAGCCCGAGGTGCAGGTGGCACCCCCACTCTGTGGGCCGGCAGGGCTGGGGCTGCCTTTGTTCTGGAAGCTGGCTGCCCCTGACCCACCTCATCAACATGGGTCCTCTCTGGACCCTTGAAGGAGCCAGAGGGAAGGGTGGTTCGCAGGGGCTGAACTGGGGTCTCCCGTGGAGTGGGGTGTTCTGAACCCCCTCCTATGCTGCCTTCTGAGTCCATGGGCCCCACTGGACAGCTGTGAGGCCGAGACCACACCCTAGTGGTGACCTGCTCAGGATGGCAGGTGTGGCCATGAGGATGGGCATGCAAAGACCTGGCCTGAGAGTTTCCAAGCTTTATGTGGCCTCAGTTTCCCACCCTGGCCCATGGCTCTGGAATGTGTGCACAAGCCAGCTGGCGGGCTTGGGGTGGCCCTGCCGTCACATCTCGCCTCTCCCCGCAGGTGGTCTGGAGAAAGCTGGGAGACGCCGCCAGCTCCAAGCCCTCCATCCGGCAGCACCTGTCTGGGAACCAGTTCAAGGGGCCTTTGTAGGCCTCTCCTCCGTGGACGTGGACTGTCCCTGCCTGGGATTCCCAGGGGAGTGGCAGGCCTTCCGGCTGAGCCTCCGTCTTCTTCTTCTGTGATGAATTGTACATAGGATGCTGCCTGCTGTGGCTCGGCAGCCATGGGTGTGGCCCCTGCTGGCCGGGCCTCCATCTCCCACATCTCACACCAGCAAACTGGGAGGCGAGACGCTGGCTGTCCCCGCAGCACAGCAGCCTGGACGGCCCGTTCCCACTCTGGGCCAAGCTTCAGGCTCGCTGTGCGAGAACGGAAGGCTGCTCTGAGCTGCCCAGCGCAGGGATCATGCCAGGCTGCGCCCAGCACCTCACCAAGCCCTCCATCCGCTGGCTGCCACCACACTGGACAAAGGCCACTGGCAGCTGGACCCGGTGCAGGGGCACCCCTTCCCATCCACCCGCTGTGACTTGAACGCTGGCTCCCCAAGCACTGAGTCCCGAGAGCCACGGGCAGGGGGGCTTCCCAGGCCCTTCCTCTGGCCTGTGCCCAGCCCCCTCCTGCCAGCTGCCACCTGTTTTTAGTATCCACCCCCCCCTCGTCCCCCAGTGTCACCCTGCCCTGTGCCAGGTGTGCCCTATATTTTGGGGACCCTCCTGCCCAGTGCCTGAGGCATCTCCGCTTCCATGGTTCACTCTGGGCCAGGAACACAGGAAGGCTGAGTGCAGAGTCCCCGGCTGAGCCCCACGTGTGCCCCTCTCCGATGGGTAGCACTGGGTCATGGCTGGGCCTCCGGTCCACTGTGGTGTCCCCTCTGGAACCTGGCCCCATCCTCAGTCACTGTGGACAGAGCCGCATGGCTGCAGTGACAGGAGTTCTGTCCCCCTTGGAAGGAGCCTGACCTGGCTCTGGCTTTAATTTGCTGTGTGACCTTCAGCAAGTCACTCAGCCTCTTCAGGCCTGTGGTGCAAAGTGAGGTCTCAGGTCCTCTTAGCCGGGCTCATGGTAGAGGCCATCACTGTAGTCAGCTGTGCTCCCAGCATGTGAGCCGATGGTCACCTGCTGGAGAGGCTGCTGGGGGCCGGGCGGGGGGTGAGGCCCGAGCTGAGTTCTGCTGCCTCCTCCAGGGGCAGTCCCTCTCCTCTCTGAGCCTGTGTCCTCCGAGGGAGCATGAGGGTCTCCTTGCAGGCTCTGGGGGTCCAATGAGACCGTCAGTGTAAATGACCATGTATCAGCTGTAAAGTGCAGTATGTACGTTTTTCACATTCATGTGAGGAAAATGAGGCACAGAGCGGGTAGGCGGTCGGTGGCATGACAGGTGAGGCCCCAGAACTTGGCAGGCTGGCCAGGCCACACTGTCAATGCGGTTGCAAGGCCCTGTCCACTCACCCCATCAGCTCGTCCATCCTCGGACTCCCAGGTCCTGAGGGCTGCCCGCGGCCTTGTGCGGCTGGTACCGAAGAGCCCGAGGCCATCTTTGCATCAGGCAGCCTCGTCCAGGCCCATGTGAGGGACGGGAACCAGGACCGGGCAGTTCCTACCGTCACCTGCCATTGGCGCCCTTGGGTTGTACACTCAGGGCAAAGGCTCTCAGTCCTCCTTGTGCCCGAGCGTGTGAGTGGGTGCTGCCCTGGGCATTACCGGGAGCCGTGGGCTTTCGAAGGCCCTTCCATCAGGTCGGACGGGAGCTCCCTGTCACATGGTGGTGGGTGACTCCTGCACCAGGGGGCCACCAGCTGGGGTCAGAGGCCCCCCTCTGGTCGTGGAGTCCAAAGAACCACAAGCGGCCGAGGGGGAAGGGGCCATCTGGGTGGGCTCCATGTCCGGTAGCCCATTTGCCATGTTTGGATCAGGTCGGCTTTGCCACGTCTGAAAATAAGCAATAAGGAAGGCCTCCTGGTACCTGCAGACGCTGCACAGCGGCCTGGGGACAGAGTCACAGGGAAGTGACCCTGTCCCCGGACTGCGGAGATGTCCAGGGAGGAGGTGGAGCGGGCCGTGGAGACCTTCCTGCCCGTCCCTGAACCAACCCTGTGTGGGACGGCTTTCAGGGATGGAACTGTACCTGTGACAGCCATCTCCCAACATAATATGCTGTTAGAAAAGCCAGCAGCAGAGCAGCGCTGCCTGACCCCACTGGGTCGTTCGCAGTTGCAGGGGAGCTCACAAGCTGGGGGGCTCCCATGGGCCTCACTACCGGGGCAGCCAGGGGCGTGCCAGCTCTGCCACTAACAGGTGTGTAGGTGACAATGGGTGACCGTCCGCCCCTGGAGCCTCAGCTTTGAGCTCAGGGTGGGAGGGGTGTGCTGACCTGGGTGTCCTTTCATAAAGGCCCCTTTGCTTTCCAAACCCTCCGCTTCTAGATCCCGCAGCCACGGGGACACCTGCGCCGTGGCCTGTTCCCACTGTGACGGAGCCCACCCTCAGCCTTCCCCGGGGGCCAGGCCCATCCTGGGATCGCCATCTGCTGGCCACTCTTCATGGTGGTGCGTTTTTATCCAGAAGTGATTAGCTACACATCAGTGTTTAAAGAGAAAAAGTGACCTTTTTTTTCTTGAAAACTTGAGAGGAAACAAAATACTACTGATTTTTTTTTTTTTTAAGAAACAGTGCATGACTGCGGAGCGGGAGAGGTGTATATTTTCATAATGTGGGAGACTGGGCTGCTCTGGACCTGGCGGAACGTCTGGTTCCCGTCCCCGGGCCGCAGCCATGCTCTGTCTTCTGTAGGACGTGACCTCCTGAGAACGGCCAGCCCTGCCCTGCCCGGCTCGGTCCATTTCTACCTTCTATTGAACCACTTTGATTTGGGGAGAGAAAAAGAAATAGAACTTTTTGATAGTGTGGTAAAAACATTGAACTATTTTAGTAAAAGGTAACAGAGAAGACTGTGACAGTGTATACTTTGCGCTAGATAAATAAAGGCTCTTTGCAAGCCTCCATGGTGGTGTGCAGTGTGTTTGTCTCAGGCGATGGCTCGTTGGGCAGAGGGCCATGGCCCCTGGGAGCATTTCAGGTGGGGGTGCAGCCAGCACACAGCGTCCCCATTTGGGCCACTAACTGCTACTCAAGGGGCCTCTGCCTACACCTTAGGCCAGAAATAGAAAGGATTTCAAATTCAAACCCTCATCTAACCTAGGAACCTCAGAGGCTGGCCCATGAGGGTGCTGCCCAGATGTGGGTGAGGCTTGGCGGGCAGCGAGGCCCTCTGGGGTCCAGAGGACGATCACACCCAGGGGCTACTGCAGGCCCCAAGCTCTGTCAGTAACAAAGTTTCAGAACTGCTTTTATTTGGATAACTGACTGAAGGAGTCTCCTGTGTAACCAAGATGGAAGTCACAGTATGTTGTTACATTCACACTTAAAAAATATCTATGTACAGGAACTTGCAGATCGATGTAAACATACATTACTTCCCAAGTACATTCCTCCCCTTCTTCCCAGAGGAAAAAGAAAAAAAGCCATCCAACCAGGCAACCCCTTCAAAATAACTTTAATACAAAGATGTAAATATCTCTAAATCAAAGAGCTTCTTCTGACCGACTGGGTGTCATGGAAGAGAACACGGAATGGAAGTGATGACGACAGCTTGACTTCAGATGGAACTGGACTGTTTAAAACTGCGTATCCAGGAAAAATAGGCACTGATTTCTAGAAGGAAATTGACTCCTACGGAAGCTATTTATTGAGCCAATATGGCTGGTTAACATTTTCACTAGTATAGTCACCCAGTGCGGGACGCGGCCCTCAGCCAACACCAGCACAGCCGGGCGGCCCGGGCACTGCCGAGGCTGTCCCCACTCCGGGCCTGGAGGACCATCTGATCCATCTCCCGGGCCTGGTCCATGTCTTCCCATACTGCAACTGTCCAGCATTATACAAGGTACCCTGCTGCTTCCTCACTTCAACTACCCTTCAAGGTAACTAGAAAAACTTGTTAAAAAAAAAAAGGGGGGGGGGGAAGGCATCAGGTTATCTCATCCAGGCTGCGCGCCCCAAGCCCCCGACTGGAGGCATGCCCGGTGGGGGGATGGGTGGGGGCACAGGTGGCTGTCCTCCAGGGGGGACAGATGGAGGTGGGTAGCTAGCTGGAGGCAGGCCCAGGCCTGGAGGAGGGTGAGGTGGGACGGC